CAAAATAAACCAACGTATAATTATCCAGGAGAGAATATAATTTTTTTCCTATATAAATCTAATTTAGCAACCTTTAAGCCTCATTATACCCTTAAGTAATATTAAAGGGCAACTGTAATGAACATTATTTTTTATATAATGTAGAAGGTAAAAATAGTTAACATCCTGCATTCAATGTTATTCTATAAGTAAGTTATTTGTGGTAACAATTTTGACTCCACATTTTTACTTTAGTAAGTTGGTTATTTTTTGTCTTATGTTATGACAGGACTTCTGTTAACTTCATTAATTTCTTATGAACATAACGACGGCATTTATTACTAGATTTGATTGGTAACGTGAAAGATTTTCTCTAATTAAAGTTCAATACTTGATAAAAACATTCGTACAAATGTTGTCAACAGTGTTGTCTACTGCTGTATAAGCTGTATAACCATGGCTGTAATAAGTCTCACTGCATCCGGTTATGGCCCTTAAAATTTGATAACAGAAAATGGGCAAACTTCTTATGAGACGTTGAAATAATGTAACTTGTTACAAAATTGTCAACATTTTTAAGGATTTTTGAACAAACATAATTTTTTTTATGATTCTAGTTAACCTATTCCTTATTCAAACAATAATGATGAAAAAGTTTTTTTTATAATTTGGTAGATTGGTTCTTTATTCTAAATTTTAAGAAAAGGCAAGATATCTGAACATCAAAGAGATTCTGAAACAATTATATTTCTATCTTTGTTCTACGATTAGTTGAATCATGCAAAAATTAACACTATACATTATTAATTCGTTATTAAGTGTCTTATTTATATAAGTTAAATTTTTTAAGGCTTTTTTTGTACTCTTGACACTATATTCTTAATAATAACATATGTTTTTTGTAGGTCTTTTTTGAATCTGATTCTTAATTTTTAATTTTGTGGATTTTTTTAGCTTTGCACCATGTGGTAGTAAAATGCATTAAAAAAATACTGTACATTCTGAAACTAATTTACTCTAGAGATCATCCTTATCTCTGATCAATTAATTAATACAGTGATACATTAGAAAGTTCCTTATTTATCAAATTCAACTTTTTGATGATCTATCCTTTGACAACTTTTTTTTTACCCGTAAACAAAATTGTAGTTACTGGGTGCAGGTAATTAAAAGGAGTAGCTTCAATAATCTAAGTGCTCATGGTAAAAATTTAGTGTAACTTGGGTGCCAAAGCATGCAGATGACGCCATTAACGTGTGTATACATATATTTGTCAAGTAACCTCAAGACTGCTCTGACTTGCAAGTCATCCCTCTCAGCTGTGATCTGTCGTCTGCACATTGAAGCACCCGATTTTAACTTTTTTGACGCTGTACTGGAAGCGCTGCGTGCTGTGCACCCAGCGAATAGTTGAAAAAAAAAAGTTTAGGATAACAGGTGCCCCCAGACACATTATAATTTCTCATTTAAACGATACAGGATTTTGTAGTTAAAACTTTGTTTAAATTTTTTTCCAACCTTAATTTTTTTGAATGATTTTAAAACAGAATTTATAAATCATTTTTATCAGCTCCAAATAAGCAAGTTAAAAGAATTTTATTCTGGCCTTCAAAGCCTTGGTAAACCTAAAACTCTAGAAAATAATACTTTTCAAACTTGTTTATTCTGAACTATAAAAAACTGATTTAAAAGGTCCAAGTCACATTAAATAAAATGATATCATTTAAGAATCTAGAAAAACATACTAAAGTTTTAAAAAAAGTTAAACGAAATGAATAAAAAAAAAACTTTTGTTATTTAATTGGGAGATTACTTTGCGTCTGGGGCACGTATTAACTCAAATTTTTTTGATTTTTTTTAAATGTATTGATATTTTCGGATACAACAGGGATATTAAATAAAATATTTGATAAAAAAATATTATTTGGTCAATAATGGACATCCTACTATTGACGCACGCGTAATGCTCTATTTGTGGGCAATGTATTTATCATTTTTTCTTTAAGTAGGCTTACAGTAACATTCTTGTAGATACTCAAAAAATAAAAATTGTTTGGATGCTTATTTTAAAAATTAAGTAGTCATCAAGATAAGCGCGTAAAGTGCCCAAGGAAAGGGATCCTACTTGTATACTATTCCAGTAGTTTGAAATATCTGAAATTAAATATTTCAAAGAAAAAAAAGTACTTAAGGTGGCTCCAGCGCCTAGTGCCGTATCAAAATGGGGAGACTAAAAATTAATCATTATTTTCTTTAAAATATGGTATAAAATTATCATAGAGACTGTTGTTAGCCAAATTCTACATTTTATCTGTTACTTTTGTGAGTTAATATAAAAAAACAAAAAAGTCTTATAGTGCCCTAATTGATGAACTGTTACGGTAGGCTCCTAAGTTCAAGAGTAGCTATACCTATATATATGTACTCTGCAGAATGCAGACAGCTGAGAGCTGACTTGCACTCGCAACTGTATACTTAGTCTCCAATTATTAGAAGATTTTGTTCGATAACAAGACACTTTTCTCATGTCATCGAAAACTGCGTAATAATATATACAAGATAGTATGTTTTTTACACCTTACGGGTTATTTATATAAGTGCAGCAGTAGGTTGTACATCGCGTAAGCTTGCACTTCCTATCTAACCCGTCTTAAAACTACGATTTTGTAAGCATGATTTCTTACAATTTTCATCGTCAACCTTAATTTTTTTTTATACGAATAGAAAGATGGAAATTCAAAGAATATAATTCAATTTTATTAACCTCGGTTGGGTTATTTATAATTTTAACATTGAGGCCACTGGAGCCACCTTAAGCAAACTTAACAAAATAAAAAGAAAAGACATGGAATTCAAAGCTTTTTTCATAATTTCTTAAAAAAAAAAAAATTAGTATTGCTACCTAATGGTGAATGTTAAACAAAGTATTTCTAGCACTATTAGTTTTTGATTTAACAAGAACCTGTACTTAAACACTTTTTATGGTTGGGATCAAAAACAAATTTAAAAAACCTCTAGCATTCCCATCAGACATGTTTGGCAGCCTTGATTGTGTACCAGCTTGTAAAAAAAGGTCTGAATATTATGATCCTGTTATCATAAATCATAAACACGTATTAAAAATACAGATACCGACTATGAAAATGGTTTAAACAAACTGCATGCTTCCTGTATATTGCTTTTAAAGAGGGTGAAAAAGCAGCGGTAAGAAAGCTTATTAAGAATTTAGTAATGTAAAAAACATGCGTTAAAGTATTATTACAGAGTTTCTAGATTATCTTAACAATAAGAGTAATGTAAGAGACTGAGTCATAACAGATAAATTATTTGTTCATGTTCGTTTGCAAGAGATAACAACAAACTGTTGTCGACGAAAATCACTTGATTTAAAATATTCTTTCAACTTTAACATCACAATGTTTTTTGTAGTGCAAGGATGTCCTGAAATTAGGATTATTACTTTTTTCTTGTAACTGAGTGTTTTTTATTAATAGAAATTTACATAACGAGTTACTTAAGGTATTTATCAAATTCAATCTCTTTTTAACAAACCTTCAGATTTCCATAATCTTAGATAATTTTTTTATAAAACTGTAAGTTATTGATTGCGTTCATAGCAATTTTCTAAAGTTTACTGTTCTAGTAATTTTTTTATTCTTAATTTTGGGCGTGATATTAGATGCATTAAGGGTAACACGAATAATCTATATAATTCATTGTTATACTGACTTTAACTAAATAAGTAGGTATTGGAATGGTTTCATAAGTCCTTAGAAAATCTTACAGATGGCTTTCATTACTGTTTCTCTTGTAGTAAGCATCATTCTTTAGTAGGTATCTATTACTATGATTCTAGTTAACCTATTCCTTATTCAAACAATAATGATGAAAAAGTTTTTTTTATAATTTGGTAGATTGGTTCTTTATTCTAAATTTTAAGAAAAGGCAAGATATCTGAACATCAAAGAGATTCTGAAACAATTATATTTCTATCTTTGTTCTACGATTAGTTGAATCATGCAAAAATTAACACTATACATTATTAATTCGTTATTAAGTGTCTTATTTATATAAGTTAAATTTTTTAAGGCTTTTTTTGTACTCTTGACACTATATTCTTAATAATAACATATGTTTTTTGTAGGTCTTTTTTGAATCTGATTCTTAATTTTTAATTTTGTGGATTTTTTTAGCTTTGCACCATGTGGTAGTAAAATGCATTAAAAAAATACTGTACATTCTGAAACTAATTTACTCTAGAGATCATCCTTATCTCTGATCAATTAATTAATACAGTGATACATTAGAAAGTTCCTTATTTATCAAATTCAACTTTTTGATGATCTATCCTTTGACAACTTTTTTTTTACCCGTAAACAAAATTGTAGTTACTGGGTGCAGGTAATTAAAAGGAGTAGCTTCAATAATCTAAGTGCTCATGGTNAAGTTGTTGTAATTGTTTTAAAGTTATGAGGAATTAACAAATATTTATATTAATTGTGAATTTCTTGAAACGAAAGACACGCTTTATTACGACTACAATATATTTTTACAGGGCTATTAATTTTAGACCCGCAAACTAAGAGTCATAAGTATTTTTTTAATAAGTTAAGAAGAAATAATTTTTTGTCAAATGACGAAAATAAACAGAATCGGTAATATCTTTCCAGAAAATTAAAATTTAAAAAAAAATGTACGCTATATTTTGAAAAGTAACAACTGCATGCATACATTATTTCAGAACGTTTTAACCAATGACTTTTAAGTGTTTTGCTTCATAAATTTTAAATGAAACGTATTTTATACACAGACTTCATATGAAAGTAAACACCAACAAGCAGAGCATATTAAAGCAAATAGTATTTGTAAACTAAAGAACATTCAAAGACAGCAGCATTCTCCGTAATAATTAATACATATGTTTTTACAACTTATTGAAACATAATATTCTTACAATATATCCTTTGTTGCTTTAAAACCTAATCCTTTGTAAAAAGTAACAATTTTTTTTTGTATTTTAGGAACAAACTCCAATCAAACAGCCAGCTCCCAATGGTACGTATACGCTTGATTTTGTCTTTTTAAAAAAACCTTATAAGTCTTTTTTTATAGCAATAAGATAATGTCTTTATAACCTGATAACTTTTATTCAACAATATATGAAAACTAACTTACGTATCCATGCGTAGAATGATGTTATTCAGTATACTGCAGAAACCTTACATTAAAACCAAAATACCTGTACAACAGGTTTCTCATCTCCTGAAATTATTAACAACCTTCTTTGTGTACACCAAATTCTATTTAGTTTTCTTATAAGAATTAAAACATAATCAAAAATTTTAAGGTATTAAAATAAATGGTTCAATAAATTTTAGCTAAGTATACTAATAAACAATAATTCATTTTAGTTTAACGTATCAAACCGCTATTTAACAATTTAATCCGCTTAACCTATAAACAAAATTTATAAAATAAGGTGCTCGATGCTAACGAAGCTTAGAAGTTTTTTATTTCTATAAGAAAAAAAGGCATGTATGACCAAAATTTCTATTAGTTTTATTACTTTCGTAATTTCTACATTCTTATGTCTGCAGATCCCTGTCCCTATTTATGAAAATATTCTTCAAATTGTTTATTCATTGAGCATATAATGAAACTTTTTAGTAAGTTCATTCAAATACATGAAGTACACTGCTACCACTTTTTTTTAGCAAGTAAGTTGCATAAAAAAAAAAAAATTTCATATTCCATGAATACGGACCCATTTTATGAATGGAAACACTTACCTAATTTACGCAAAAAAAATTTGTACCGTGAGAATAGAGGGGTCCAGCTTAAGAAAGTACAAATACGCGTTAAACGCATACAGTACAGCTGTCTGCTCGCAGCTATCCTAACTTTGGACTCGTACAGTTCAAAACAACGCTATAATGTAAAGATCAAGAGAGGTGACTGTCTAAGCCAGCGCTTGGAACGTATACGTACAACCTTCTGAGCTTGAGCTGTAACTACCAATCTTATAGTTACGATGTATACATAAATAGTGATTACAAACGTGCTGTCTGGCAGACATATGTACATGTAGTAGGAGCTGACTAGGAATTTGTATAAGGCATCGATAAAAAGCTCCCAGTAATTATAAGTAAGTAATGATATTATTAATTTATTAACAAAATACACAAATGGACTATCCTAAGTCATCCACTATTTTCTTAAAAGATCAGTATATTATGAACGTAAAAAAGAACTGCAGTTATACACAAAAGACCTTGAGATTAATAGAAAGATATGTTTTAAGGTTCTATAACAATTTGCAAGTTACGCGTGAGGTTATATTGCTCTAAACAAAACCTTAAAACCTTTTCAAGGTTAACGGAAAGGTATTTGCACATTCTGACAGTCAAAATTTTTTTTTTTTAACAAGATTAGCCCAAATGAATAATAAAATGTTGTAGGGTTGATAGTTGCAAATTATACCTATCTTTTTTTTGAAACCTCCTTTCTACGTTCATAATACACTGATGTTTGAAGCAAATAGTGGTTGACTGAAGATCGTCCATTCATGTCATTTGTTAATAAATTATTATCATCAGTGCTTACTTATCATTACTAGCAGCTTTTCAACGATAGCTCATACATATATCTGCCAGACGGCACGTCTGTAATCACTATACATATATATATATACACCATAACTATAACATCGGTAGTTACAGCTCAAGCTCAGAGGTTGGTACGTATACGTTCCAAGCACTGGCTCAGACAGCCCCCTTTCTAGACCTCTACAGTACAGCTTTGCTTTTAACTGTACGAGACAAAAGTACAGTAGCTGCAAGCAGACATCTATACTGCATGCGTTTAATGCGTGTTTGTACTCTCTTAAGCTGGATCCCTGAACTCTCACAAATTCTTTTTACATATGTGCAGTGGAAAGCAACCACTGTATAATATATAGTAGTATAGCCAAACCAAGCTCTGTCTTCTTCCGCGTGGTCAAGCACTCAAGCAGATGCGGTACATAAACTAATACTACTGTACAGGTACTATGGGTACATTTACATTGGATTATCTACGCATGCACACCAGTGATCCCGAAGGTGGCATCCAAAGTAGCGCGAAATTCAAATTGGATATATGAAGCAAAACGCAGAAACCCACATAACTCAACAGACTTTTGAACATAATAAATAAATACACCCCAAGCTATTAAACCCAATAACCCAATGCTATCTAACCCAGTAACATGAAACGCCTACTGGCCACTTGCAAATTTAATGCTCTAAATAATGCACACAACCTGGTGCACTTACTGGTCGCTTTATTAGTTAATACAATAAATGAAATAGTATAAGCGCTGATCACCAATCAACCCAGGTTGCTGACTGGCTGCTTTGTTTATTAATAAGACATATAAAATAACACAAGCGCTGATCACCATACAACCCAGGACGCTTACTGGCTGCTTTGTTTATTAATAAAATAAATTAAATAACACAAAGGCCAATTACCAGACAACCTGGGGCCCTAACCATCATTCTTTAGTAGGTATCTATTACAATTAAAGCCATATTTCTTGGGAGGTGTATTTTTTAACATTAGATGAAGAAAATAATTTTTGTTTGGTTAAAAAATTAAAAAAGGAAGACTTAAAGTTAGTGAATAAATTTTTTCTTTAAGAAGCTTAACAGCAAATTAAAGTAAACCAATAGTCTGAGTTAGATTCATCTTATGGCACATCCATCATTGTGCAAGCACAATTTAGTAATGGAGATAAGGGAGACAACATACCAACAGAAAACCAGAATCGTTGAGGACGCCCCACATGTATTTCAAAAAGTTACTCTTATTTAAAGAAAAAAAAATGTTTTTCTAGAATAATGCAAGAGAGCATTATGTCTTACTACAACTGACGTTTAAGTTTAAAAAATGGCTTAGTGGACGATGATGTACGAATAATGAGAAAATTACAGATTATGAGTATTCTAACTTTAGAAAATTACCACAATCATATGATTCTAAAGGCCCGAAAAGTTGAAGAAGTGTCCGAAAATCAAACTAGGAGAAAATTATGTTAAAAAAAGAAAGTTATTTATTAAATAATTTTTGAACACAAATTAGCCAGGTACTGGCAAAGCATTTTCGGTTATCAATAAAATTAATTAAAGCACAAACATTAACTTAAAGGGAAAGCTTGCACGTTAACACGTGTAACGTGAAAATTGTACTTCTTCAAGTCAAAGAGAAATGTTAATAAATAAACGTTTTTCGTTATATAATGCCAGTCCTCAAATTTTTTTTTCATTTATTCAAAATCAAATAAGAAACCAAATGCCGTAATTAAAGTTGTTGTAATTGTTTTAAAGTTATGAGGAATTAACAAATATTTATATTAATTGTGAATTTCTTGNAGCTTGTGTTTTTTTATTTATTATAATTATTAACAAAGCGACTAGTAAGCGTCCTGGGTTGTGTGGTGATTGGCGCTTGTGTTATTTTATTTATTATATTAATTAACAAAGTGACTAGTAAGCGCACTGGGTTGTGTGGTGATTGACGCTTGTGTTAACTTATCTATTACATTAATTAACAAAGCAACCAGTAAGTGCCCTGGGTTGTGTGGTGATTGGTGCTTGTGTTATTTAATTGATTATATTAATGAACAAAGCGACCAGTAAGCGCACCAACTTGTGTGGTGATTGGCACTTGTGTTATTTCATTTATTATATTAAATAGCAAAGCGACTAGTAAGCGCATCGGGTAGTGTGGTGATTGGTGCTTTTGTTATTATTTCAAGCATTTAATTGTAAAGTGGCCAGTAGGCGTTCTGTGTTGCTGGATTAAATAGCATTATGTTATTGGGTTTAATAGCTTAGGGTTTATTTATTGACTGGTTTAGAAATTTTGTTGCGTTATGTGAGTTTTTGCATTTTGTTCCATATAGCCAGTTGAAATTTTTAGTCCTTTGGATACCACTTTCAGGAGCACTGATGCACATGTTTGATGACGTACCAGAATATAACATTTTAGTATTTATGCTACGGTTTTCTCTCCGTGCAAGTATATACTTGTTATCAGTAAGAATAATTATTAGCTACAGTAGCTATTGGTGAATTCTTACGTATATATGTATGCATGTGTCAGCTGAATTCTGACTAGAAGTGTATCCATATTTATAGTATAGGGCCCACCTCAACGAACTGCTCACCAGCCAGCAGTAGCAGCAGTGCACTGTATGTGTATACGTACAATTCACAGCCGTTGGACTCAGGAGAGAGAGATCTCGTGACCATGTCGCAAAATTATGTTAGTCTCTCAAAAGTTACTCCGCAAGCCGAGATCCCAAACGTCCCATTAAAAATTTTGGTTCAAAAAGCTTTGCTGAAAGACATTAGTGGACAAAGCAGTGGCAAATTTTTTATATGGATTGAGGGCTTTGTATTGTTGTAACGTAGCATGTTTTTAGCTTAAGAGATGGGAAGAGGATGTTGTAGCAGCTATAACCATAAGATTTTAATTACTGTGAATAAATAATGAATGAATATTAAATGAAGTTAAGGCCAATTAGTTATAACATAAAATAATAAATGATGCTGAAAGATAGTATGACTTTCTGGTGGATGTTGTCAGCAGCAATGCGCTATCGAAAAGTAAGTGACGGACAATTGGAATAGCGTGGTTTGTAATATAAAATCAATTTTTTATTTCTAATAGCATGGCCCACATTCTACTATCAGGTGCACAAAAGTTATAGCAGGATAGGAAGAAGAGGTAATAAAAAATCTAAGTTTTAGTGAGCAGCTTAAATGAATAATAAGAAAGAAAGAGTGTTATAATAGTTAAGCCGCATATAAGTATTATCACCATCGGTATAAAAGTAGTTGCAACTCTGGTAGACAACAAGAAAAAAGTGGCACAACACCTTATAATTAAAATAATTGTAACAAATCAAGGAAATATAATTACAAGAATGATAATTGCTATTACAGCAGTGAAAATAATAACAACATAAAAGGGGGTTTTAAATGTGATAAATGTGACTACAAAAATATTAC